GTGCAGTGGCACTTTTAGGCAGCGTGAAGGTTAGTGCTGTAAATTCAGGGTAAGCCTATTAATGAGAATATGAACATATATTTTTATATGTATATTCATATATAGCCAAAATGGATCTGAAAGGCTCCTGTTAGTCTTTGTGTACTAGGATGAGATGTACAAGGTGCTCAATTCACAGTTTCACTCTGGACAACGTTTACATTACTTTTTTGAGAGAGGATAATGTTTTATCATAATGCTTAGGTTAGCAGTGTCAGTAAGTCTTGGCTATGGGTTTTCTTTTCCTCATTCTCTAAATCAAGGACCATAATCCATGTATGTACACAGCAGTGTGTATTCGGATGTTGCTTGGCTTCGTGTTGCTTCTGTACTTGTGGCTACAAGCCACGTCCTCCTTGCGCAGTGTTATTCCTGGAGGGCCAGCATTGACCCATAGCTCAAATGAGTGGGGTGAGACTTGCCAGAGGTGAGAGCTAAGACTCCAGAAGACAGTCAAGCAGATGTCTCTTGCCTAAATGACTGTTAAAGGAGCTCTGTGAAAAAATTGTCCTGTGATTAAAAAAGGATCAGGCCAGAAGATAAAAGAAGAGCTTTTGTCAGGAATTCAGTCCAGACCTTTTCTCCTTCTGGCTCCTAAGGAAAAAGAACTCCATCATAGAGCATGTTCTGCTCACCTGAGTGTGTTTTCCAGTGCAAGCTCTGCTGGAAGTCTGCTTTGCATTGCATCCCTGCTGTGATCTCTGAATGTGTTCACTGCCTGAATGTATTTTTTGCCAGTTTGTCCCTGTTTTCACATGCTAATACACTTTTAGCTAGAATAGCTCTCGTATATATTAATGCATTTTATTTTACAATCTTGCATGCTGTTGAGGTCAGATTAATAGGCCTACAGTTGTACTTGCTGTTTCTTCTCGCCCTCCATGAGTACTTCTGCTTTTGGTTGCTTCTAACTAATTCCACCCACAGCTGACTACCCTTGTGCTCTGAGGCAACATTTCTTGTACGTTTTACTGTTATTTTTTCCTGTTCCAGGAGCCTCAGCCAGTGGGACTCGGTGAAAGCAATTTTTCCTGTGTGCTTACAGACCCATAGCCAATAAGTTCTATTCATCAGTACTTTTAGTTTCGTTTGCTCTTACTGAACTTTCCAGATAACCGCTGGAGAAATTACTTAACCTGCAGTGCAAGGCTTCAGACCTCTGTGTGACCACTCATACATGCTTTTGCAGCTTCAACACCAAGAAATGCCAAGCATACTCCAGCTTGAAGATCCTGAGCTTTGTAGGAATAGTGTTTTTATTTTCTAGCCCATGTCTAGAAAGTCAGACATGAAATTGAGAAGAAAAAACAAAAGATGTCTTTTGTTATTCTACAGCTTCTGTTTTCAGACATCTATCCTGTTCAGCTACCTGCCATTTGAAAGCAAAAAACAGCCAAAGAAACTGTGTTTTGAAACAAAACAATCACTCCAGGTTATCCACCTTCCTTAGGCATCCTGGAAAACAGAAATGAGAGGCTCAGCAAACAAACCTTTAGTTTGATTAACTGTGCAACTTCACCTCTTCAGAGAATTCATAGAGTCATAGAATGCTTTGGGTTGGACGGGACCTTGAAAGGTCATCTAGTCCAATCCCCCCTGCAATGAGCAGGAACATCTTCGACTTGACCAGGTTGCTCAGAGCCCCATCTAGCCTGGCCTTGAACGTTTCCAGGGCTGGGGCATTGACCAGCTCTCTGGGCAACCTGTGCCAGTGCCTCACCACCCTCACAGTAAAGAGTTTCTTCCTTATAGCTAATCTAAATCTAATGTCTTTCAGTTTAAAACCATTACCCCTCGCCCTATCACTATACTCCCTGATAAAGAGTCCATTCCCATCTTTCCTGTCTGTCCCATTGCAGTACTGGAAGACTTCTATAAGGTCTCCTCAGAGTCTTGTCTTCTCCAGGCTGAACAACCCCAGCTCTCTCTTGCTGAGGGTGCGCTTGATGTTGCTAAGTCATAGATGAAAATGTTAAACAGCACCGGTCCCAGTGCAGACCCCTGAGGGATGAATGAACATGAGTTAGTTATGTCTGAGCTAGAGGGATGAGGCTAGAGATGAGCTTTAATCTCTGGAGCATTTTGCAAATTAAGACAATTCATTAAGTCTATAGATGTAGCTTTGCCATTTGAACTCAAGGCCCTAACTTTCATTTGTCTTGTTGGTTAGTGATATCTGCTTGCTTACTGTAGAGCTAAAATCGAAGAGGAGATGTGTACCTCCACCTGTTCTGCAGGGCTGCTCTCAGCAAGAGTGGAAGTATCCACTTCAACCCGTTATCAGGATACTGGCAGCTTATTTGCTGAGCATCCTCTTCAGAAAGCAGAAGCTGCTGATGAAATAGTTTAACACACCTAAGGCAAATGCAATTTACAGGATAGTGTCATTGTCATGCAACAGAGTCTACCTGTACTTCTTGCTGGCAATGCCAATGAGATGTTAGCTGTAGGCTCCCCACTGGTGTTGGTGACTCAAAAGTCTGCAAATGATCTTACAAAGATTCATTGCACTGTCATTGTTCTGTGACAAAAGCTGTCTTTGATGTTGAAAGATAGTGTGCTGACAAATCAGCCAAATAAATCAGGTACCTAAAATTGCAAGATGGAGTTTGCGGTTTCTGTTGTTCGTGGAAGTAATGGCCTGTAGAAATAGCAGCCTGAATACCGTGTGCTGCAGCAGCAATCTGCTTGTCAGGTGCTCGTGTTTCATACACAGCAGATACTTCTAGAGGAGGCATGAATGGGAGCGCTGGTTGTAGTAACACAGTTGATTTTTTTTGAGGTTATCATCTGCTGTGAGTTTCTTGTTCTTTCTGCTGGTAAAGGAACGTCAATTTGTGCACATTTGAAAATACCTCTTCTAGCAAATTAGACCTGTGGTGCTCAGCAGCAGATGTTGTCTGTGGGAGGCGAATACCTCCTCCTTTTCTCCTTTCCACTTTCTTCTCCAGATGGATCATGAGAGGCTGGCAGCACACTCGGCAACGGGCAGTGCTGTAGCTGGCCATAGCCTTGCATACTCTTTCC